CTGCCGTTGCAAACTTGCAAGCTCTGCATCGCGGCCCTCCTCCACCGGCGAGTGGATCTGTTCTCCGCCCGCAGCAGTGGGCATCTCATCTCCGGCAGAGCTCATCCCGATATGACTTCTTGTTATGGAGGAACAAGGACATAAAAGGGGGAGGGAGCAAGTTCGTTGCTCCTGGCTTCGGGTACTCGCAGTTGTTGTTTGATCTCTTGTTTTAGTCTTCTTAGACCAGGTCCGCTCAGCGCCCACTCGGAGAGTGAGGGAGCGGGGCTGGGATTTTGATCTTCCTTCAGCTACTTCAATACCCCTCGACGACTATCCATATCAAGAAAATTCAAAATATCCAATAAGCGCTCATACAACGTTCATGAAACGCTCGTACAATGCTCATACACTAGTTGCTCCATTACATTAGCCCACCCTGGGAAGTCGTAGATGCAGATACTTAAACGGAAGTCCAATATTCAACTTCAAACCAGACAAAATATATAAAAAAAATATGCAACTAGGATCGGAGGAATAGTTCATCCCCGACAAATACTCCAAACCATCCCCACACCACACAGTCATGACTACCAAGAATCACATCACCAACGACGGAACCAGTCTGAATCAAAACGGGGTTCGGTCGTGGCGAAAGCGCGAAGGTCGGGGGAACTATTGCAACGATAGAAGAAACTACCCAAACACGCGTTTAGCGTACCACTGCGTATGACGAAAAAAAAAATCACAAAAACCAGCAAAACATGTAGCAGCTCGAAGGCGGCATGCTATCAAAGCACAGATCCAGATGGGGCAACAGCTAGCTGTGCCACAACGCCTGGTGTTCGCGACGTAACGCCATCATCCGTGGAATGGTTGGTCAAACGACGAGTACGGTGTTTTTGCAAGCACCAAGAACCGCAAGGAGCATCCAAAACCGTGGAGGAATTATGCTCCGGGAGAGACAGCTGTCGGGGACCGGGGGTGTCCAAAAATCGAACAATATACCGGTCTGTTGCGAAACTACTGTTTTGCCCAAGCCACCAAATGTGGGCTCCGACAGGTAGAACGGAAAGAGAGAAGCGAGCCATCCAAACATCACGCGAGACTAACTCGTACCCGGGAGCAATGAAACGTTCGGCCTGATTCCGAGCAAGTTCTCGGTCGGCCGAAGCTATCCGAGCATTACGATAAGCTCGGTTCCCTTGTACGCGCTGACTAGCGTTACCAGAGCCATGGTGTGGTTAACACGCTCCGCCCCACCGTTAGTTTGGGGGTGGTACGAACTGGTGGTGACTTTCCTGATGTCCATCAGCTCGTAAATAGCCATGGACAGCTTGGAACAAAATTGCATGCCGTTATCCGAAAGATGAGTCACCGGACAACCCCACAACGTCATGTAGCGGTTGTCGAAAGTGTTGGCCGTTCGCTTAGCGGTAAATTCCGCCTTGGTAGTGGCATTCATATCCGCCCGTCGACTGAAACGGTCTGTAAACAAAAGTATATATGCATTCCCACGGGACATGACCGGCAATGGCCCAAAAAAATCGACGCTCACTACAGTACCCCGCCCATTCGGGAGGGGCAGAGTGAGCGTAGGCCAGCGATGCGTTGGCCGGGAAGTCTTGCGTGCTTGGCAAATTAAGCAATGCCGAAGCCACCAACGAACGGACAAGTCCATTCCAACCCATCAGAGAATCGCTCCAACATACGTCAAGTCCGAGTGGTACCCAGGTGAAAAGGCGCGGTGGCGTGACATGCTTGTAGGACCCAAGGTCGCAACAGCATAGGCACGTATATGCGTGGAGTCTTCGAAGGCGGGAGGCGAGTGATACGCCCGCCCGAATTACCGACAGGCAGTGGGGCAGAATCTCGCACCAACAATAGCGTACCATCGCATGTTTTAGATGCGAGGGCGACAACATCAGACAACGCCGGCCGTCACGCACAGAACAAGCTATCCCTTGTGCAGGGAATCGATGACGTGGTCAACACGCGGCTGCGGTTGTTAGCCAAGGTTGCACAACTTGTTTAGTTTTTTGTAGTTCACGGTCAAACTCAGATTGCTGTCCTTTTTAGGCATGACAACCAGAGGGCTCGCCCACGGCGATTGCGAGTGCTGGATAAGACCGGGCTCCAACTCGGCGCACCCTGTCAACGGGATGTGTTGAGGCCCGTCCGCGTCCGACGCCGAAAGGGCGCCGTGTTTTGGTAAAAACTTGACAAGATAGTTGCCGGTGAGAGCAGGAGTGCCGGAATTGCGAACGAGGTTCACCCTCGTCAATGTGGGTTTATCGGAAAGGGAGACACCCTTCCTGCCGGCGTACCGCAGGAAGTAAGATGCCCCGGGGGCGGAGGGTCCAGCGACACACGCGGAAGCTCCCGCCGCAAAATCCGACGAAAGAGAAAGTTTCTCCATGATGCATCCACTCGCCGACCGCGTGGGCAAAGTAGTGGACAAACGAGAGTTAAAACGCATCCAACTACAATCACGTCCAAGAAGGAGGGCGTGACCCACGGAGGCAGCTGGGACAACATACACCCACACCGCTAGTGAAGCGGTGGCACTATCACCATAAAAAATTGACTGGACAGCCACACAGATANACCGCGTGGGCAAAGTAGTGGACAAACGAGAGTTAAAACGCATCCAACTACAATCACGTCCAAGAAGGAGGGCGTGACCCACGGAGGCAGCTGGGACAACATACACCCACACCGCTAGTGAAGCGGTGGCACTATCACCATAAAAAATTGACTGGACAGCCACACAGATAAGGTGGTTTCGAGAGCATTGCCAGAACCAAAACCACCCCACTGCCGAACGGGCACCGAAGGACGACTGTGGACAGATGCAGCTCCTGACGCCTCCGTGGCCTCAGGAAAAGATCACTAATGAAAGATGAAGGTGAGCCCGAGTCCAAAAGGGCTACACCAGGCGCTGTACACACGGCTCCTGTACCACTATGCACACTGACTCGCGTCGTAGAGGTATCGCAACCCACTAAAACATCACCGCTCACCAAATCTGGACCGTGTTCCGCCAACAGCGGCGGTGGGGAAGCGGCGGCTTTGCGAAAAGCAGCAGAGGCAATGTACAGCACCTGTTTCGAGTGGTCCGAGGGCGTGTTCGCTGGCACGCCCAAGAAGCCACGCGCGTCCTCGTNCAAATCTGGACCGTGTTCCGCCAACAGCGGCGGTGGGGAAGCGGCGGCTTTGCGAAAAGCAGCAGAGGCAATGTACAGCACCTGTTTCGAGTGGTCCGAGGGCGTGTTCGCTGGCACGCCCAAGAAGCCACGCGCGTCCTCGTAAGGGGGATCGTCAGCTGAAGAATCCTCCCCCGGGGGTGCAATTTCGTGTATAGTGGGACACACGGGGGCAGATTGCCCCGAGTGTTCAGGGCGTAAAGGCTTATCGGGTTCAACCGGTCGCACACGCAGAAGCGTGCGCGTCGCAACAAGCGCTTTGCCCGAGAGGTTTTTACCAGTCCACGTGGAGGGCGACGCCACACGCGGATCGAAGGCATCAACACCGATGCCCCACAATCCGTCATAAGGGCTAGCTTTCGCTATCTGTCTGTCACCCGTAGCCAACAAACGTTCGCGCGCGTCAGCATTTTGGGCGAATTTTGCATATAACATCGAAAAGACAACATCCTCGCGTCGGAGCTCCCAGAGGGCATGGTCAAAACGGTGTACCTTGCGACCAAGGGACTTGTGTTCCCTCGGGTCGGAAGTAGCCATGATTATGGCATAGTCTAAGCGGTATCATCGCCGAAAATGCGGGCTTTCTCCGCCATCATGAACAGTTCGACGCACACGTAGCGAGTGCCCTGGACCGAGAACTCACAGGGCGTCCAATTAGACAGAAAGGGCGGCGGTTTCCAAAAGAGGAAAACCTCATCTTTGTAATATTCCTGATTTCCATCAAAAACAGGGGCCTGCCGCGCGGGTGTGCTTACCTTCCCCGAAAAAATATCATCAAGGGAAATGGCAACGGCAACCGGCAGGACAATCTGGGTGTCACCCGAAGGCGGAGTGTGAGATACGAGGAGGGGCAGGCAAAAGCGGTGAACCAGCCGCAGAAGCGTGCGAAACCAAGCGGTCTACGCGGGCGTTTTCGCGCAAACCGTCGGCGTAGGCCTGTTCATTAAAAGCGGCCTTCATCGCGGGCGCTCGACCAACATGGCCACCGGCCGCGGGAGGCTCGGGACCGCTATTTCGTGACAATAACATGAACCTTCCGATGTTGGGAAACCGTTACTTGCGCTCGGCAACGGTGGTGCAGTCAGCACCGTGCGACGTTGGTGCTCCGTAGAGGAACGTCGCGAGGGGTCCGGAGGGGGCGCGGTGGGTACAAGCGTACTCGATCCACCGTGGCGGGCCTGGGGCTGTCCCGAAGGTCCCTGTGCTTCCGCGTGGTTGACGAGGCCACCCGGAGCCGCCGAAACGGTGGGAGAAGCCGAAGCCATGCCTCCGGGGGGCGTAGACATCGGGGCGCATCCGCGAGATACCCGAAGTCTTGTCGGCCCCCCGCCCACACCACAAGACTGTATTCGGCGCCGACGAGTCACGACGGCCATTCAAAACAGANCGGTGGGAGAAGCCGAAGCCATGCCTCCGGGGGGCGTAGACATCGGGGCGCATCCGCGAGATACCCGAAGTCTTGTCGGCCCCCCGCCCACACCACAAGACTGTATTCGGCGCCGACGAGTCACGACGGCCATTCAAAACAGACTGTGATGAGGCGTGGGGCGACATCTGAGAAATAAAAGGTTGGGAAACTAACATAGGCGAGCCCGAGGACGTCTGTGTGAAACGAACATGTTGGGAACTAATCGTACAGCGCACACCCGGTGCTGTTGACGGCGATGTGTGCAAAAGGCCGTCACCGACGTGTCAGTTACCCCGCGAGTGCGGGGTTCCGGAGCTCCGAGTATGCGGAGTTTCAGGAACGGCGGCGGACGCCGAGGCCGCGGCGGCGCCTACGGCCAGCGCCGGAGGGTGTGTGTGTGTGTTTGAGCGATCTTTCCCAGAGCGGCGGCCGTCGCCCTGTGCATGGCCGCTGCTCTTACCCAGGTTATTATCATTGTGCACACGCGGGCGGTGGGATTTCATGCGGCTCTGCCAACGTTGAAAAACATTAACACTATCGGCATGCGAAGCAATGGCCGGGTTGAAGAGGCCGGTGTAATTGGCGAATGCATAAGGGCATGTTTTGAGGCTGTGTCCCGCCTGCCCGCAGTTTAGACATTGGCCGGAAAATTGCCGCAGAGCTTGTGCTCGGTCGGCGGGTGTCAACAGCGGTGTGAACAGAGGGGGGTCCATCTTTGCCATACTCACCACGACGCTGTACACAAAGCCGTAGTGACCACGCAACGGCCAGCAGTCGTAGTCCTGTTCGAAGGGATATGTGTTATCGGACGGCACAGGGTCGAAGGCCATCACCCCGGCGGGAAATTGTGGTCCCGGCGACCACGCGGACGGCTGCAGCGGCGACGGCGGTGGCGGCCGCTGCTGCCCCACGGTCGCGGTCATGGCTCGTGTAGGCGCCGATGAAAACCCAGAAGTGACAGTGGTAGAATAGCGGTCGCCATTGCAAGCGGGCGAATGTTTTAGTGCTTCCTCCGAAGACAAAGCATCCCAAAGCTCATCCTGATCACTAAACACTACGTTGTGGAGAATCTTATCCTTCAACGGCAAAGACGAGAGAACATTCGGATACTGTTCCAACAAAGCGTCCCGAAGCGCACGCTGTACCATGCGCAGATCCGGCGCAAAAGCTCTGTGCGAGGCTATCTCCGACATTGCCAACGCCTTAAACTTCGTAACGAATTTGCTGTACGGCGTGCCGTTGGGCACACCAAAATCCTGCAGCTTGTCGATGCCCCGGTTGAAACGTTTCGGTTCCCACTCGTCCGTGAGCAGCTGGAGCAGCCGACGGTATGCCGAGGGCCCTGACTTGTCCTTCGTCTCCAAGAAACGCTTCACCTGAGAAAACGAAGAATCCACCAATTCGTGGGTTGCGGCATTGGCGCCTTGAGGATTCGAAATGGCCATGAGGACACGCTTGTGGAAGGGAGCATAACATCCAGCCACCGATGAGGGCGACTCGATGGTCTGCTTGCCGGAGGGATCAGCGGCCGACAGGATTTCAGCCAACACACTTTCGGTCGAACGAACGAAAGCAGAAAATTCTGCCGGAGGAAGCGGCACCACCGCATACAGTTCGTTCACTTTGAGCTTGCCGTATCCTTTGCGCACGCTGAGGGCGTACGCCTCTGCGGCGGCAACGGCGTTCGCATCAAGCTGTGCCTGCGCAGTGCGTGCACCGGCAGACGACAAGGGCAGTGCCCGGTCATCACCGAAATCACTTGCGGCCGCCTGCGTAGCCGGAAGCGGCGTCCTAGCTACCGACACCGCGATAGCCAAGACCGGCGGTTCCTGTGGCAAAATAGGTTGGGAGGGCGTCGGTACCATTCCAGAAATCTGTGCCGTCTGCGTTGTCACAACGGGGGCGGGGGGCGGTACCTCTGTTTTCACATTAGTAAAATATGCATGCGAGGGCAAAGCGGAGGCTACTGATGGTGGCTCTGACATTACGAACGGCACTGAATGTAGTGGCATCACCGGCGGCTGCGACATCGGCGGCACCGGTGGCACCGGCGGCACCGGTGGTACCGGTGGGTGCGGCGCCGACCGCTGCGGCTCCGGCGGCGGCGGCGGCTGCGGTGTGTGCGGCACCGGCGGCGCCGGCGCCGGCAGCAGCATTGACGGCTGCAGCACCGGCGGCTGCGGTACCTGCACCGGCGGCTGCGGCATCTGCGACGGCGGCACCGGCGGCACCGTCCTCTGCAGCGGCGGTACCGGCGGCGACAGTATCGACAGCGGTGACACCGGCGACGGCAGTCTCGAAGGTGGCACGTCAAAAGCCGCTACCGACGGCGACACCGTCGCCGACGGTTGTCGCTGCTGGGGGAAACTCGACGATAACATGCGATGCAATAGCTGCCGCGCACGTTCTAGCTCAAGCTCGGGGTGGTCAACGATAGGTTGAGCCGCTTTAGCCGACGTCTCAACGATGTGGGGCGTCATAGCACTAACCGGGGGCATGGCGGCATCAGACATGCGGGCGGAAGCGACAGTAAGCGGGTCCTGTGGGATAGTCATCTGCCCTTGTTGATCCCCAGGACCAATGGACGGCGGCTGCAACGGGTACGGGTTGCCGAGCGCATCTACAGCCCACGGCTGCTGAAAGCACGGTATGTTTGTGTTGCTATACCATACTGCACTTGCCTGCTGCTCGGACCATAGTAGGAGAGACGAGTAGGTCCGTGGCTGCCACGAGCCTCTCCCCCGGCAGTTTGGTGACTACCTCCCCGGTCCTTCCGATTACCATCTCCGCCGGCGTCCCGATGGGCATCCGTGCATCCGCGGGAGTCATGCCCTCTCGAACGGCCTGCATCCTGCCTGCCGTACTTTTGTGTATGCGGGCGGTCGTGAGTACGAGAGGAACGTTGGGACCCAGCAGACGCAGATGTGCCCCACCCGGAAGGGAAGCAGGCGGATGCCACAGCAGCGCCGACGCAAGCCACAGGCGATGTCCGTTGACGCCGACGTTGGGGATGGAGGAGAGGTCAGTGTGGCCCATGGCAATGATGTGACGTCGCGCGGCGTGGCCCCCCTTCATGACCCGCCAGATAGCGCTCTCGACCACCGCGTCTTGGGGGTGTCGCAAGCAGCGTCGCAGAACGTGGTGAACGCGGTGCCGGTGAACTCGCCGCCGTTGTCCATGGGGAAACAGTCACTTCGGCAGAGCAACACTCTCGCCCCCCCGCCTCCCAACACGGTGGGGGCCATCCAGGTACCGTAGTCTAAGAGGACACTATTCCTGATCGCGGAGGGTTCGGCCCACTCGATGGTAGGCCTCATGCAGGGGGGCGACCACGTGTAGAAGTACTCGTTGCCGGGTGTGTGCCAGGCGGAGACGGTCTGCGCGAACGCGGTGGCGGCCGCCATTTGGGCGGACGGGGTCGGGGCAGCGGGGGCGCGAGCGGGTTGACCCTGGGAAGCGGCCTTGCGCTTGGTGCTCGTGGTGACCGCTTTCGGCTGCTGCTGCTGCTGCTGGCGTGCTAGGCCCCCCTGCATGAGGCCCACTATCGAGTGGGCCGAACCCTCCGCGATCAGGAATAGTGTCCTCTTAGACTGCGGTACCTGGATGGCCCCCACGGTGTTGAGAGGCGGGGGGGCGAGAGTGTTACACTGGCGAAGCGACTGTTTCCGCATGGACAACGGCGGCGAGTTCACCGGCACCGCGTTCACCACGTTCTGCGACGCTGCTGGCATCCGGGGCGAGTACACCGCCCCCGACACCCCCAAGACGCGGTGGTCGAGAGCGCTATCTGGCGGGCCATGAAGGGGGGCCACGCCGCGCGACGTCACATCATTGCCATGGGCCACACCGACCTCTCCTCAATCCCCAACGTCGGCGTCAACGGACATCGCCTGTGGCTTGCGTCGGCGCTGTGGGCATCCGCCTGCTTCAACTGCTCCGCGACACAGGCCAACAAGGGCTGGATGTCGCCGTTCGAGGCGTTCTTCGGCCGGAAGCCGCCCCTCACCGTCGTCCCTTTGTTCCAGGAGGAGATGATGCGCGTGAAGCTGGCCACCAAGGCGGACGTCCAATCCGCGCGGTGCTTATACCTGCACGGCGCCAACAATCACTCGACGTCTACCGCCGTCGTTCTTTGGCTGACACCGGTCGCCCGGCCCTCACCAACAACGTCGTGTGGGTCAACCGCGGGGCAGGAGCCCCGGCGCCTGTGCCGGGCATCGGGGGGGGTTCTTCGGTCACCACGGCGGCCTCGCCGGCCGCCGCCGCCCCCGCCATCGAGGCCGTACACGTGCACCCCGCCTGCACCAGCGACCACCGCACCGCCGCCACCGCTTCCCCGCCGATCTTCACAGGATCCTCAGCCCCGTCGCCGATCTCCTTGGCACCATCATCAGCCCCACTGTCGACCGCAGCCACGCCGCCCCGTTCGCCCCTGGGTCTGCCGCCGCCTCCGCCGCAGCCCGCCAGCGCCGCCGCCCCCGCTCCTCTGCACCCGCCGCTTTCGAAACGAGCCGTCAAGGAGTTGGGACGAGAGGAGACGAGGGTTCACGGCCGCAAGCGCGCCGATGGAGTGCGGTTCATGGATGAGCAACAACAACCGCCGTCGCCACCAGGTGACGGCACCGCTCTCCACCACCGCCTTGGGCTGTTGGATATGATGGAAAAGGCCACCCTCATCTCCTCGCTCGCCACCCTGGAGGCCGTGGATCAAGGACGTCGCGACCCACCGCCCCCGCCGTCGCTGGATCCGAGTCTTGGAGGCCGTGGGAGCGGGGGGGCTGTGGGAGCTGGGGGGGGGCGTGGGTTCCGGGGGGGGGGAGGAGACCGCAGATATTCGCGACAATGGTCGCCACCCGTGAGGATGTGGACGCAGCTCTTCGCGCCGAGCGCACGCCTGACATGATGCCGGACCTTCCTCACTGCCTCGCCAGCGACCTCCGCGTACCAAAAACGTTCAAGGAGGCCATACGGTCTCAACATTCCGAGTTGTGGGATGATGCAGTCGGTCGAGAGTTTTTCGGTTTGTTGGGTGCAGGAACTTTTAGTTCGGTGTAGCAACCAGCAGAGAACGCCATCAATGCGAAGTGGGTCTTCAACTGTAAGGCAGACGAATACGGATGGCCGACGAAACTCAAGGCAAGACTTGTAGCGCGGGGAGACATACAGAGGGCTTCGATTGATTTTGGAGAATCGTTTGCACCCACCGTATCCGTGTCTAGTGTGCGGTTGTTGGCAGCATTAGCATATGAGCAGAATCTTGACTTGTGCCATTTCGATATTCCGCAGGCTTTTAGATGCAGTCTAAGCTTGATGAGGATGTTTGCATGCGCTTTCCGCAGGGGTGTGGTAGGTTATCTGGCCTGATGGTGAAGCTGTGCAGGAGTCTCTATGGTTTGAAGCAGGTATCACGACATTGGGATGCGCACCTGACGAGGTGTTTGTTACTTTTACGTTTTTTGCAGGGTCTGGCGGATGCATGTGTTGTTCGATTGATGGAGCAGGGACGTGCGATCATGATCATCGTGGTCCACGTGGATGACATTTTTGCTGTAGGGCAGAAGGAGAGGTGTGACAAGTTTGGCAGGGATCTCAACGACATGGTCCCCGTGAACAACCTTGGAGAGTAGAGGTGGTACTCCGCGTGCTTTTACGAGAGAGTAGGGAGAGGGCTGTTGAAGACTTCGCAGCAGAGGGTTGCCGAAGAGTTGGCTGCGGAGTACGACATTGAGTGGGGGAGGAGCGTGCCCTTGCCTGTGAGCGTGAAGCTCACCGACTTTAACGAGAACGAAACGTGCGCTGATGTCCCTTTCCGCGAGTTGGTAGGATCCCTGATATGGTTGGCAACTCAAACAAGGCCGGACATCGCGAACGCAGTACGAGCAGTAGCGCGGTATTATTGTGCATCTCCCAAGATAGTGCACTGGAAGGCAGCACTCGGTATTTGAGGTTACGTACATAGGACGAGTTGGATGGGGATTGCATTTGAGAGGGGAGTGGCAACTGGGGTGAGCATGCAGGTGTTTGCGGATGCCGACTATGCAAGCAAGGCGACAGACCCAAAACACAGAACTGAGCCACCCGAACTAGCGAACAGCCTGATTGATGTTGCGTGGGAAAATAAAGAGAATAGTCTAAGCGACCAATGAATTGCCCATGAAGTGCCCGATGTGGGCGTAGCATGACCGTGCAAATCATGGGCTTCCCATGACGGGAAGTCACGCAACAGCTGCCCATCATGGATGGGCACGTGCCCATAGTGGGCCGCCCGTGAGCAGCCCATCTGGGCACTCACACATCTGCCCATCATGGGTTTTCCATGTGCTGTCCATGGGCACCCGTGGGCACCCATGGGCACCTACCTGCCCGTGGTTCGAGCCTTGGTTACCCTTTGAAAGTAGATCGTTAGGACGAGTCTAACCGATGTTGAACGTAGCAAAGGCTAGGTTCCTCACGCGAGCAAGGCTACTGTAGGTTGCCCAACCCAACCAACCCTTACCCTCACCCACGGCCAACGCACGGGCTAGTGGCCGAAAACTGGTCGAGCTTGCGGCGCAGCCGCGTGCTCGGAATGCGGAACGGGAGAGGGCGCTGGCGAGGAATCACGGCGTGGTTCGCAGCCCATGGGCGGATTCGCAAAACTGTGTACCACACATATTACACATGACACACACCTTGCATACACCCACGTACATCGCAGAGACACAAAGACATAGTGCGGCATGAGCTTCCAACCAAGAACATGCAGAAAAGCTATAGATAGGTCTATTTCTTCAAAAAAAAATTCTGCCAAAAATTCAGTTCATGTTTACAAGATGGTACGAAGTTCAGAAAAGATCATGCCGTACACACATCAATGGCGCGAACCCAATTGATGCATTGGACGAAAGTCTGTCGACAGTCTTTGTACATGTTTCGTATGCATAATCTCTTCTCCTGTGTTGCTCTTCGCATGTTGCATGTTCTTACATCGCCCCCTGCCGCGGTGCTCTATTTCACCCACTCCGGAGGGAGGTCTTGCACGTACGCTCAACTGCATCCCCACGCAATGACTGTCCGTGACCTTACATCAATCAGCCGGTGTGTGCGTGCTTGGGTTGGAAGATAATGCGCTCTCTCCCTTGACTGTTCCTGCCTCCCTTAATGTATCCGATATCCGATATCCGATATGTGAATTGATCGCTTCTCGTCCGAGTTCCGGAATAAATAATACCATGTGGAAGGGAATCTTTCCGTGCGGAGGGAATCTTTCACCACACTCCATGTCCGCATGTCGTGCATAGACTGTAGACTACAGATAGCAATGAATATTTTCTCCCAACATGTTCCTTGTTAAGTCTCCCCAGCACGACAGATGCATAGCTCGACTATCGTCCTCCATCCAGTAGTAGTCAGACACAGAGTAGTACAAGCTACCGAGCCTGCTACCCACAGGGCACATATTTCCGGACACTTTCTATACCCGCCGAGGAGACACAAATAAATGATGGTTAGAAAATAGGAAAATTAACTCTTCTGAGAGGGCGATGAATTGGTCTTGCGCGATGGTGCGGACCTCTCGTACTCTCCCTGCCGACCCCTTCGCACACTCCCATCTCCCTCCCCTTCTTCACACACCGCGGCAGCGACGGGGATACTGAGCTTGCTCTTCTTGCGCCCCGGCCAAAAGCAACACACACGTCCACTAAGCAAGCAAGGTATGCAGCGGCCAAGGGTGCCGGGTTGTGTGCAGGTAAATGTCGGAGATCATGTAAATAGACTAGACTATATATGATGCCCAACATTGGCTGGAAGATGCACGGGAGCTCATTGGATACACCAACGATATGTATGGTGAATAGCATTGTTACAATAACGTAGAGTGCACGGGGGTGAAGTTCTTCCTCATTTTCATTCGTTCCTCGCCGCCGATCTGAACGGGACGCAAGACGTCCCCGTCATCACGCGCGATAGAGGATATTGCCTGCTCTACTGCTGTATCTTGTCTTTTTGTCTGTGGCGTGCGGAATGGTACCATTTGTCTCCGTCTTTCTTGGACGTTCGTGATCCTAGCCGCTTTGTCACGCTGGAGATTTCTA